CCCCCCCCCCCCCCCCCCCCTGCTCGGGCATCGTGAGTGGGGGGCCTCGGGGATTTCGTGCCAGCCAAAAAGTGTGCCATGTGTTTGATGAAGGGCCCGGGCCTTTGGCAGCGGGACGGGAAGGCCATCCCGATTGGATGTGGGCCATGCCCGGAGCCGGCATGCCCCCGCAACCAGCCCGGCGGCCTCGCCAAGACCGTGCATGCTCCACTGGCGCCCCAGCGGCCCCTTGTCGGAGGGAGACGCCTGGCCAAAGGGTTGCCTACTGGCGAGCAGCCGCATGCGTCCTGCCATCGCCCGCACAAGAGGGTGGCAGGGCCTTCGGCCGCCGGGCGTCAGCACACATCGCTGAACATCCGTGTGCTGGCGGCCTCCGATGGATGGGACTGCCCGCCAGGAGGTGCTGATGTGCCCAAGCCACGTCGCCCCCTTCCCTCGGTAGATTGCCGGGAATCTTGTGGATTTCCCCCGGTCCCTCTGGCACATCGAGTCCCGATTAGTATAGTGGTGAGAATCCCCGCCTGTCACGCGGGAGGCCCGGGTTCAATTCCCGGATCGGGAGATCTTTTTTGCACGATAATCATCCCCCTCAAGGGCGGCGGCCTCCTGGGGGGGAGAAGGGGAGGGAGAGAGGGAAGATCAAAAAGAGGGCAAAAGGAAGGGGACCAGACACACCGGCATGCGCCCATGATGATTCTCTGATGGCCGGGCGTTCGGAAGGGAGTGCGGCCGGGGATGCGGAAAGTCAGCGTGCGGCCCAGTGTTGCAGGACGTTTTGGTGTCCACGCACAAGGCTGTGCACCTGCTCTAGGGCTTCCTCTCGAACCCTTTTAATATTCGAGTTTCTGTTCTATTTTGCTCGCCCCGCTAACTCGCCCCTTGGTCGAGTTTCCCTTGTCTCGTCGCTAGTAATCTCGTCACCCTCCTGGTTCGGTACGCCCCCCCCTCATGCCCGAGCGGTCCCTAACCAGCAGCAGGATTTCCGGTATAGCCTCCGCCAAAGCTTCACTCCTTTGACGTAAGACTGGCCCCGTGAGAACCCTGCTACAGGGCGTGACCCGGCGCGCCTGGCGCGATCTGCCCACTCCACGCCGCCCAGTCACGTAACTGAGATTCGTCGCACGGTGTGTGATTCGTCTTGACCGATCGGCCCGGCGGCAGGCAAGCCAAAGGGCGGGGGGGGGGGGGGGGGCCCAGTGCACCCAAACGCAAGGGGCACAGGGGGCGGGCATGCCCCGGGCCCCCGGCCCCGGACTTACACCACACACCGGGGCCGCCAACCAAGTTTTGGGGATGATGATCTGAGCTCCAGCTCTTTTCTTCCGCTCCCTCACTCCCCCTGCCTTGCCTCCCCCTTCTCTTTCCCGCTTGCCTCTCTCTCTCCCTCTCTCCCCCCGGCCATCCGCTTGCCTGGCTGGCCTCACTCCTACGCGGACACAGCCTTTTCGTTTGATGCTTCGCTTGGCCCTCCGGGCTGGCGCAAGTGGCCCGGCCACCCGGGCGCGCTTTTCCTCTCGTGCCGGCGCCGATGTGGCCGCCCCTTCGGGCCGGCAGCCACTGCCCGATGTGTCGCCTGCATCGGCCGAGTCGAGCATCCGCGCGGCACTCAACGGCTCCTTGAAGCTGGCTCGGCGGCATCTGTTCATTGTTTCCGGTGCGCAACCATCCGCCGAGTCCCTCATCGGCCGGGGCATTGGGCAGCGCTGGGGCCGCCATCGGTCCAGGGGATCATGTTGCTCTGCGGCCTGTCTCACAATTCTCCCGCGCGCCTCCTCTTCCGCCTCCACGCACGCCGGTCGACCATGCGGCGTCTTTGTACATCCATGTGTGTGTGTGTGTAAAGAGGATGAGCCCACTTGGGCCAGCCATCCAAACGATACACATCCCCTGGCATCGGCCATCGGCGTGCAGCTCTTTCGCCAACGCGTGACCGGGACCAATGTCTCGCTCTGCTGTCCGTCACCCTGCCAGGGCCCGGGTGCCGGGCATGCGCTGTTTCACCCGAATGACATCCTCCTCTTCCCGGAAGGGTGGCTTTTGCGACCGCGGCCGCGGCCGCCCACGGCCGCCCACGGCCACGATGAGATCCCAGCCAAAGCCGGCCCATTTGCCGAGGCGGCTCGTGAACTGGGCATGTGGTTGCGCAGTCCGCCGGCCCCGGGCCTGGAGCCGCCCGATGGCGTGCACTTCGACATCTTTGCCCTGTACGATGAGGCGCCTGGCTCGCAAGGGGACCTGGCCGCGGGCCGGGCGCCTCTCCCCCGGCCGCCCGGAGCCGCCACAGCCCTGCCCCTTGGAGATGTGTTTGTGTGCACACACAAGGCCCGTGATGCGCGGTGTGGCTTTCGTGGCCGACCAGTGCGCGATGCGCTGAGCACCCGAGCGGCCGAGGCGCTCGCCGTGTCCGGCCGGCCGGCAGTCCGGGTGTGGTCCTCTACGCACTTGGGTCAGCACCACCTGGCCGGGATTTTGACGTGCGCACATTCCCCCCCCCCCCCACCATCAACCTATGGGAACCAACCCGCTCGGGTCCCTCCTCGCCCCTCGCCGGCTCTTTTTTTTTCCTCGGCCTCCAGCATGCCATGCACCCGCCATCGCGACTGACTGTGACAATGTCCCTCCCCCCCCC